ACATCTCGTAAAATCTATTCCATCCATCGAACAAATAAAAATAATTCCCTTCATATAAATTAACTTTAGCTTTCAACTGCGACAGCAGGAGGAATCTCCACTTCAACCGATTTATTAGACTTGTTCTCTGATAAGACAATAGTACATTTTTTATTAATGTCTATTTCTAGTACTAGTTCAATTTGCATGTCGCCTATTTTGCTACTTGGTTTTAACTCGGATAATACCATTTCCGCTAGCAATTTTTCTGGCACTATTTTCGGTGTTTCTAGTACTACTGATGATGACGGGTCATCATCTTTACTCTCTAATATTTCCGCTTTATTTATTATTGCCTCTACTTTTTCATCTTCATTTTTATTCTCATCCTCCTCAGTCTTTACTTGTTGTGGACTACCCTCCCAAACAGCCACGTATACTTCCTTCTGAGCCAATTCCACATTTGAGAACTGCACCACTCGTCGAGCTGGCAATGGCGTATTCTCTTTCACAATGGTCACGAATTGTTCATGTGCATTCAAAATACCAATTGCTTTGGTGAGATGTGGAACGTTGGTAATTTCGCGATCGTTAATAATATCTTGAATTTGATAACCTTTGATTTTGAGGTCGGAGATTAAGGCTCCTTGGTATGCACATCCGTATGCAACTACTTCGTCTGGTTCGAGATCGAGGCGAATATGGGTTCCTGGATTTGTAAATATTTCACGTAGTTTTGTTTGGAGTTTGGGGATCCGGCAGGCGCCTCCCACAAGAATCACCTAAATGATAGGCATAGCATTATTATTTTTTTGTTTATTACTATTAAGTTAGACATAAATACAAAGGAATGAAAAGCTACCTCATCTATTGAATAATGTTCCAATGAATTCTCTTTCAACGTGTCTCTAATAACATTCAAACATCTCGTAAATAATTTACTCGCCATAATCTCAAATCTCGTCCGATTAATCGTTCCATGGAAATCAACCCCATCCGCCAACGATTCCACCGAACAAGGAGCATTTAAACTGCTCGACAACGTTTTTTTAGTATATTCAACTGAGGTGCGTAATTTTGCCAATGCCCGTTGGTTATTCGAAATATCAATTTTTGATTTACGTTTGAATTCGTTCGCGAAATGTGTCACTAACAGTTGATCAAATGCCACGCCGCCCAGAGATGGATCATGAATACTTCCCATTATTGTATAAATGCCGGAACGTACTGAAATAATGGTCACGTCAAGAGATTCTGAGCCAAGATCTACAATTAGTGCCGTGGTGTCGTTTCCTGTTGCTGATAATACGGTAGGTGAATTATTTAAAGTATTTGTTTCTTGTGATGATGATGGTCTAGAGGGAGATGATTTTTCGCCTAGTTGATATGCTAAGGCAGCGGCAACTGGTTCATGAATTAATTGAAGTACGGGCAATCCCGCATTCTCGGTGGCTTTTTTCAACGCTTCGCATTGTAGTTCAGTAAAATATGTTGGAACGGCCAATACGACTCCCATCACATTCTGTCCTAAAAAATGCGCAGCACTTTCGCCAAGCAGTGTAATATATTTTGTCAGGATTTCAGAGACGGTGAATGTTGTCTCTTGATCTTTGTATGTTACCATGTATGCTGGTTCGCCATCTTTTTCTACCAGTGGAGCGGCGTCATTTGTGATAATGTTATCTGTTGAAACTATTTCTTGATAGCTTTATTAGATTTGAACGATTAATTACGTCAAAACTAATCAATTCGTAAGCATCGTATAGATAAAAGACATTCCCTTACCTTTTACCTATCAAATTCCTAAACTGCGTGATTGTGTTTTTTGAGTTGCGTAGTAATTGTGCTTTGGCTTGAGACCCGGTAAACTATAACCAATGTAAAATCAATTTTGCATGCAGAGTTTTTTTCGCCAAAAACCTTGAAAAATAATTATCAGATCAGAATGTAATTTTCTTAAGCATTATTGTACCTCTTCGTCACCAGAAAATGCGACAACTGTTGGTATTTGCCTTTCACCGTCTTGATTTGCTATACAATCCGCGCGACCATCCTTTTACATACATAATGAACGTAATTCAAAAGATCAATTTTATAATTATTAACTGAAATTGAAAAGTATGCTATGCCTTTCATTACTAGTTGTTTGAATTCATTAATCTCAG